TCCCCTTGGCCCCTGGCCGCTGCTCATTCCGGATTCGGGATTTGCGTAGGCAGAGTTAAAAATAACAGGGGTATATAAAGAAGGACGGAGAGGGCTGCGCTGGCCCCGCAGCCACCGGGGCACAGCCAGGCAGCAGGCAGAGATCAAAGCAGGATGCGGTCCAGGCGGCGCAGTGGGGCCGAGAGCGTGTGCGGGGTCTTGGGGATGCCGCCATGCTGCCGTGCCGGGGGTCGGGGTGCCCAGCTCTGCCGGCTCGGCAGCGTCCCTGGGCAGGCCGCTGGGCAGCACCCATGGGAGATGGGGCCATGTACGTTCTCATAGGCAAAGACATCACCCCCAAGCCCTGTCCCTCCTCAGCATTTACTCCATGGTGACATTCACCAGGAGGGACCTGAGCCGGCTCCCCCGGCCGGAGAGCTGTGCGAGGAGCCTGGATGTAGCCCCCAGCCAGAGCACCTCATCCCAGGGCCGAGCTCCCTGCCGGGGCGCTGCCCTGCGTCCCCGAGCCCCCAGCAGCCCCGGTCCTCGGCTGTGCATCCCGGTGCTCCCCGGGCCTGGGGCAGGCAGGGCGGACACAGCAGCTCGCTCAGCCGGTGCAAACGAATCTGCCCTCTGTGCCCTGATAACATTGTGTTTGTTGCAGAGCGGGAAGAGCCTGCCAGCACACGATAAGAGCAGATGACTTTACTCTGGACCCGCTCCGGATTGAATTATGCTTTAATTTCATTTTCGGTTCCTCTTTTCTTTTCAGGAGGGGAAGGGGGCTTGGGGGGGTGTGGGCAGGTCTGGGGGCTCCTGGACCCTTCTCCAAGCAGGCTAGCCCCCTGCACAGGGGAGGACAGAGAGTAAAACCCAGACAGATCTGCTTTCTGCTCTCAGGGACGTAACCCCAGAGTGCCACAGCAGCCTGGGGTGTCCTGCTGCATGGGTCCCCATGGCACCTCCCCATGGGGTCCCCTGCAGAGCTTTTGGGGCTCAGGGTTTGCCTCCCACTGAAGCAGAAGCTCTCTGGGCTGTGACACCATGGCCCGTGTTGGAGGGGCTCCACGGTTCCCATCAGAGAGGGGGCACCGGAGATGCCCTGAAGGCGAGTCCCCAGGTTTACTCCAGACCCCCAGCTCCAGCTGATGGAGCACAGGGGGACACACAGTGCGGGTGTTTTTCAGTGCCCGGTGTTTTGTGGGGTAGAGGACTCCCCTGGGTCTACTGGGGGTCCTGCTGGGCAACCCGGGCACTGATGCCGTCTTCAGCAGTGCTGTGGGGCATTGCCCCTCTGCTTGCACTGCACGTGCTGTGTGCCATGGGGAGGGTGCCACAGTGCCATGGATGGCATGCTTCTCCACTGCCAGATGTGCCAAGAGCAGGGATAACCATTAACCCCTTCCTCTTTGGCCATCGCCTGAGCAGGCAGCCCTTCCCACCCTCTGTTTGCTCTCCCACTGGGCTGCCGTTTGATCTCTTGGGATGCCAGCGACTTTACAGCCTGCCGTAGTGGCGCGGGAGATAATCCACGTTTCCTAAATGGGCTTCTGTCAACAGCAGGCTGTGCGCGCACCGGCCGCTCCTGCTTGCCTCCCTCTTGGCTTGGAGGAGGCTCCCATGGCCAAGGGGCTGGCAGGGCTGTGGTGGGGACCCCCCGTGCTCACAAGCAGGCAAATCCCTCCCATGCTGCCCTCCCCGGCTCCCTGCGCGGTCAGCGCTGGCAGCGCTTGTGTTGGTGCGGTGCCTGGCACGGTGCCGCTCCCCTCCGCGCTGGCCCTCCCACCGTAGCATCAGTAATGAGAGTTTCCTGGGGAATATCCCACATTTGCAAGAATTATTGGCTGTAAAAATGAACCCGATCTGCGGGCAACGCCTCTCTTAAAATAAGCCAGCGCTGCATGGGTGCAGATGCCAAAACCGCCTGGAAAAGGGGAAATCCAAGTGGAATTAGTGTTTGTCTCCTGTGGCATCTGCTCTCACTTATCTGTAGAAGTTTGGGGCAGGAACTGCCTTGCTATTAATTATTATTTGGCCAAGAAACAAATAATGGGATTAACTGGTGACTTAAATAAGCTACTCTGGGGCCCAGGCTAAAAGGGATTTTGAGTGATGCCTCCATGCTTCTTTGCCACTTCAGAGGTGACTTTTTCCGAGGAAGGACTTTGCAGCCCGTGTGTTTTGACCCGGTGGGTGGCATTAATAAACCCGCTCCCACGCCGGCAGCCAGGCACGCGGGACCCAGGCAGCGACCCAGTGTGTGCTCTGGAAACCAGGGCAGGGATTCTTGGTAAAAGGGGGAAGATTTGAATCGTTGTTGTTCCACTGGATTACTGAAATAATTTATTGCAATGCTCCACCCTTATAATTAAAGTGTGGTGATGAAAGCAACTGGTAGAGTAGCTTTGGATCCAGAAGCAGCGTGTGCGTGTGTGTGCGCGCACCTCACCTTTGGTGTTTATATTTGTTTTTTTTTAAATCGACTCCTCGCTTCTGGATAGTCCAGGCAGCAGCCCTGGTTCTTAGAAAGGTATCTCAGGATGGAAAGCCCCAGAAAGCAGGGAGACAGGCTCCAAGAGATAAGGGCCATTGCTTCTTGACAAGCGCAACAGTAGCTGGGCCATTCCTGGTACTGGCTGGATGGGGGCCAAGCGGAGAAGGTCTTGCTACGAGCTGGACATGGTGGCAGAGAGCCCCTGGGGAGGCCTGCCCAGCGCCCCGGGTCTCCATGCCATGTCTTGACATGCTGGCACGGAGTAGGGTACCCGGGCATCTCCTGCGGGGTGGGACATCCCGGTCCCCTCAAGTCCCCCGCTGTGGGAAGCCCTGCGGTGGACAGCACTGTCCTGGGAGCTCTGTAGGGTGGGCAGGGTCAGCCAGCCGGCCCATGCCCCTCACGGCAGGGTGGCTGGAGGCTCTGCCATGGCCCCGATCCCCAGACAGGGCAGACAAACGTCCTGCAGGGGCTGTGGGGCGAGATGAGGCGATGCAGGCAGGGTGCCAGCCCCCCAGCAGGGTCTGCTGGGCAGTTATCTCAGCTCGCACACGCACCGGGAGCACGGCCAGATGGGAGCTGGTGAGCACTGGGCTGCTGATTGCCTCACCGACAGCACCGGCGGGGGGGGGATGCGGCCTCACGGGTGCTGTTACATGAAGCGAGTGGGGTGGGGGCACCGGGGCTCAGCCACCCCGGCCCAGCTCCCCGGCTGGCACGAGCACCCGTTTGGATGGCACCTCTGCTCGTTGACATGCTCAGCGTCCCCCATGAGGAGCGCCGTGGCTGGCTCGCCGGCCGACGTGCTCTCAGTTACAACCCCGCAACAGACCTCCCCGGCACGCTCCTGCTTGCGTCCATGCACGCTGGCGTGTGACACGGCCACTGCCCCTGCCCCACTCGGGGCAAGGTGCCGGGGGACCCCCGGCTCCGCGATCCACAACCGCCCCTCCCCGCTCGCGGTGTGGGGCAAGGCGTCAGGCCACCGCTGCCCTGCTCACGTCTCGGAGACGGGTAGGAGGTGCCCTGGGCTTTGCGCCTTTACCCCTTCTCCCGCCGCGGGGCAGGGCGCGGGTGGACCCGGCTACGCAACCCGCGCTCGCAGCGTGGGGACCCCCGCCCCCCCCGGCCGCGCCGTCGGGGCAGG